ACACAGAGGACGAGCCAAGCTGCACACTTGCAGAGCCCGACGCACTACAGGGAAGTACCAGGTTTAACGAAAGGCCGCGGGGGCAGCTCTCAGCTCTGAGAGACGATCTGAACGAACGTCTGAAGAACTGTTCAGTCAGGTCCATAAGTATTGGACAGTGACAGTTTTTAAAAGTATTCAGAGAGAAACGTCCAGACCAGCAGCGACGCGTTTGAAAACTCACCATTCTGTCGTCACGTCAAGTTTCAGTTTAAAAAAAATGTGTTAACACGTTTGACAACTCAAATATCAACAAATGTTTCAGTTAACATGAATTTCTCGATGACTGTCGGCTCTTTTCACATCAGCTGATTGTTCATAAATTCTTTTATTTTTCAGTTTGTGCTTTTCATTATTCGTCCACATCTGCCTTCACAATTCTTGGTCGACTGTTGGTTTGAATGAAACGTCTCTACTTTTTTCAGGAGAAGACGGGGAAAGGATCCGTGGACGAGCTGAATCTGATTCAACAGCTGAAAAAACAATCAGACACTGAAACTAAGTCGAATTGATTTATTGGTTTACCAATTAATATCAGTTTTAAAGACTACATTACCCAGAAGTCCTGAGCCAGTCGGGACGTCAGACTGTGAGCAAAATGCTCTGATTGTTTTTGTTTATGACCACTTAGGCAGAGTAGAGGCGTTTAAACCGATTTAAAAATTAAAGCTGCTACTTTTATACACTTAACAGTATGATTTGTTTTCTGCGATCGCCTAACTGTTGAAGTGAAAAGCTCAAATTAAAATCAAACATTCAAAAGATTCTAATTTAAAGAAACTGCGTTTATTTTTATAAACAACAACATAAAAAACTTTCAACACATTCAGTTTGTTCTGACGTATCAGATGAAAATTCACATTCACTAACAACACCCTAGCTGAACTACTTCTTGACAAACAGTGTATCATCCACTAGCACTTCTGTGGACGTGGCACTTTGTGGAAGGATACCACCGTATATAATATAGAGATAGATATACACGCGAGAATAGTCCATCACATAAGACGAAGAAAAATAACTCTCACTGCGCTGCGTTCTCGTCTTTGTATGGCTTACATGCGAGCGCGCAGCTTAACATTATCTTCCAAACGTCTGCAGTCCGCTTCCTCTTTAGCCCAGCCTCTCTGGTCCACCCACGCGTCCCTGTGTGATGCATCTCTGTTAACACATGCACTGTTAAAGTTAAATCCAGTCACAGTTGAAAACGGCTGGTGAAGTTTTTACCTCAGCTCAGTCGATGTTTGAATTATAAATGAAAATGTACATTTCTTCAAATGTTTCATTTTAGAACCCTGAAACAGATAATCAACTGAGTCATTGACTGAACGTTGGGACAGCAGCTCGGGTGCGATGACTAAGACACTCATCTTCCAAGTAAGCAAAAACAAAAACTTTCCACTAATTATTTACGTTTGTCCTCTTCACAACAACCGACTCTCATCGCCGAAACACACCACTGGACCGAGAGAAAAACTATGCACAGTGATGACTTCACTCGACTTCCCTGTTTTACTGTCCATCCACTCAGCCCAGCTCTCACCTCTTCGTAAGCCAACCAAAAGTCTTTCCTCAGTCTTCATAGCCGTCTGTATATCCTAGGCAGAAACGTACGGTTTACAGCTGAAGCTCCTCGCGTGAATCATCAGTGCGCTGTTCTACCTGAACCTCAAACTAAAGAAAAAAACTACAAAAGTAAAAATGGTTGGATGAACTCACTTGGTGTCTTCATGACGGTCGTCTTCTTACCCTTTCTTCCTTCTCTGCCCTTCATCTGCTCCTTTCTCAGATATTTCTGAAACAAAGAAACATTATCAAATCAGACAGCTGTGACTCATTCTCCCTGCCTGAAGATCAATAACATCTGCATCAATAACATTTTAACTTTTGTTTGTTTTTCTCTTATATTTATTGTATTTTGGTTTATTTAACTTTTTATTCTCTTAATTTATTGAAAACTGCCTCATTTGTTGTTTTCTTTTAGTAAGAACTTTGGTTCGCAATTATTTTGAAATGGTGCTGTATGAACATGACAGTTTATTTTATTCATTGACCACCATGTCTCAGTGTGATTTGGGCGGAGCTTTGTCTCAGGTGTGTGCGTCTCACCTGCAGCTTGTCGTAGTGCGATGCTGGGCCGCCTGCCCAAGACCGGCCGCTGTGTTTTCTTCGCAGTGTCCTTCGTTGGAGTTAAAACAGAAAACAGACGGACAGTAGTAGACCCATCTTCCAACGTGTTCCACACCTGCACAAACATTTCATCAATGACTCAGTTTTTTATGAAGAAGAAATTAATATCATGTTTACATATCTTCATCATTCATCCACTTTTTTGGTCCTAAATATGATAAAATAACAAACAACATGACCACCTGTAGAACCTTCTCACGAAATACACAAAGCTTATTGATCTGTTCAGTCGGTCACTTTTCTCACGCTAATGCGGATAGTTGTCCGGCGTCGTAGCAGGGCGCCAGACGGCACAAACGCCATGGTGAGGTTTGTATTCAACCAGGCCAGGCGCGCGCTCAGTCTGCTCCGTTTCTGACTGTATCGATTGTCATTCCACCTGCTCCTTCTCCTGGTCCTTCACTCCTGCAGCTAGAGGAGCAGACGTTGACATAACCAGTGCGAGAGTTGTAGGTTTAAAACCAGAGCGTTGCGAGTCGTTTCGACCTCTAGCTTCTGGAAACTTGTTTCTAACCCCTCACATGCAGCCCACAACATGATCCAAAGGCTTAATTTAAGGATATTGATAAAAACTGTTTGTTACTCTTCATCTGGTAAAAAGATCATATGATTCATGCTTTGTGTAGCTAGAACAATCCACAAAGCCACTCCCATCTTAGCTTTCATCTGCATTTCTGGTTTCGCAAGTATTTCCTCTACACTTCATTTAGCAGTGGAGACCCGCCGACTGCTCAAATCACCAGCCGCCACGCGTTCTAAATTTCTCTTTTTTCTTTACTTTATGTCGCAAGATGCACCACCCGCCACATCTCGTCACCTTCACAAGCACAGCCCTGTGTGATGATGAGCGCAACAGCGGCGGGGAGGAGAGGAGGGGGAGGGAGGGAGATGGGTGGGAGGTTTTGGGGGTCCTATTGGAGTTAATACTGCGCGAGACGCCACACTGGCACCGAGGGCGCCTTGGACCCGACACAGATGACGTTCCACGGTCAACGCACTCAGGTCAGGAGTCACAGAGCACGACGCGTACTCGTGATGAATCAAGGGCAGCGAACATGACCGGAGAAAGTAGCTAGAACTTATTAGCCAACTCTGAAGTTGACGGCTAACTCGCGCCAGACATAAACTATGGTTTTGAAAGGAAAATCTGCTGTCAACCCTTCTCATTCTGTTGCAACCTTCTGCCGTCTTAAACCATTCGATCTTGACTCACCTCAGATCTCGCTGCTCTTCAGTTTCTCATTCACAAACTTCAGGATTTCTTTCTCTGCGTGCGTTTTCCTCTCTCTCTCTTCACCCTATCAGCTCAGAGCTCTTGCATCTCTACCTTCCTCCTCCTCCTGCTCCTTCAGTTCTCCTCCTCTCCCTCCTTTCTCCTCCAGTTTCTTCTCCAGCTTGGATTTTCTTGCTGCAGGTTCTTCGGGGTGTTTGGAGGGCTTAGTTGGAGAGATGCTGCTGCTGCTCTCTCTCTTCACTGTGGTCGGACATCGATATGTCTGAAAAAACAAAAGACGTCACACACACACACACACACACACACAACACACACCACACACAACACACACACGTGTGTATACAACTGGAATTTAATCTTTAATCTTTACATACTATATACATATATATATTATACATTATATATACATATTATATATATACTATTATATACATAACTATACATAATATACATAATATACCATATATACATATATTAATATATAACATATATACCCACATATACATATATATACCCATATATACACATTATATATACATATATACCATATACTATATACAGTTAGTACTACTACTATTATACATATATATATACATACCTCTATATATATCTGTACATATACTATATATATAAGATTTAAGATATAGTATATATACATATATATATATATATACATATATATATAGATAGTATATATATATACCATATATAATATAGTATACCATGTATATATATATATATATATACATACCATATATAATATATTATATATACTATAATATATATATATATATATTACACAATATATATATATACAATATATACGTATATATATATGATATATGCTATATATATATTACATAAACATATATATACTATATATATATATATAACATATATATATATATATATAATACTATATACATATATACATATATATATATATATATATATATACATATATATATATATATACAAATATATATATATATAATACACATATAATATTTATATATACAACACTATATATAATATATTTATACACATATATAGTATATATAATACACATATATACTCATATATATATATACACATATATATAATATATACATATATATTATATAATATAGACTATACCATATATATATATATATATATATACACATATAATATATATATATATACACATATACTATATATATATACACATAATTATATATATATATATACACATATATATAAATATATATATACACACTATAATATATATATATATACCACATTTATATATAGTATATATATACACATATATATAATATATATATACACATATATACTTATATATATATATAACATACTATATATATATATATATATACATAAACCAATAAACCAGAAACATATATATATTTACTTACTATAATATACTTATATAGATAGATATAGATAGATAGATATATATATAATATATATTATATATATAGACTATATTAGTAGTATATATATATATATATATATATATACGATAGATAGATAATATATATATACTATATATTATATATACACACACACATTATAAAACCTTCAGCCCTCACCCGTGTTGAGCTGTCCTGTACTTCCTGCTGACGTAGGAGCCACAGACGTTTCCGTTGAACTTTGGTGATTTAAACTTTTGCAATCTTTCAGCCATTCTCTCTGCGCGTCCTCGGCTTTGTCCATCTCAACTGAAGCACGGAGGACAGAGGACATCAGGGACTGAGGACACTTGAGGAACCACAGGACAGACTGATTCTCTGCAGTGTCTTGCAGGTGCAGGTCCAGTCCTGGTTCCGTACTCTTTCTTGACTCCTGTTGAGGGACAATACTTCCTGACTTCCCGAACGGTCGGCGACAGTTTCAGGCGGCCTCAGTCTGAGTATTTATACTGCTGCCGGATCTGACCCACGTAGACCACCCCTTGCATGGAGCCGCCACTGACAGGACAAGAGACAGGACGTCATGAGCGACATGACACACCTAACTCGGTCTCTGATGTCAAAGGTCACTTCTTTGGATTTTACTATCCAAAAATGTAATTAGTCTAAAAGATACTGAGAAGCAAATAATGTCTAAACTGAGGATTGAAGCCAACCCATTGTTTTCATTATGATTTAATCTGCTGATTGTTGTTTAAAAAATATCAGGAAATGTCTCATCAGTTTCCTGAAGTCCAGCGTTGACGTCTTCAATGTACTCGTTTTGTCCAACACAGTTCAAAACTTCACAGTGAACGAGCGGGAACAAGAGCTTTAACATTTCTGCTTGAAAAATCATTCAAACAAATCAACTGTTTGCAATAAAATGAATGAATCGACTAATGTGACTAACGTTTTACTGTCGTCTAAAACTTTAAAGTTTTAATAATCACAGATCACGCAGTCAGAGACCTGGTTTCTTTAAAACCACCTGAGAGTCAAACAGCTGTGACTCACCTGGTGTATGGAGTAGGGGTTAGGTCATGAGTGAACTGACCTGGGACCGGCTCTACCGCACACCGACGCCGTCACGTTACTGTTGTAGAACTTGGCCATCGCTCGGAGCTTCTTCTTCTGTGGCAAAATGAAGTACGCCTGATCGGGGGAGAGAATGGGAGGGGCTTGTTTTAATGAGCCAGAAAGCTGTCAGGCCAAAATAAACAACTAATGGAAAACAGGAAAAACTCTTTCACATAATTATATTTAATTTACTTTCTTCTTTGTTTTTGGCTCCGTCTGAAACAGTGTGGAGGTGATGAGCACAACAGACGCCAGTGAGCGTTTCAACCCACGCGAGGATTAGACTCTACAATGCTATAAAACACTGCAGCGGCGCGCGCAAGGTAACGTCGGTCTACCTAGGTCTCAAGTCCAGCACCAGGTGTTCACCACTTTCCCAAAAGGTTTGGCAAGTCCCAGCAGCTCGGTGAGGAAGTTGTATTCCTCGTCTAAGCCCACGATGTTCACCACCCTCATTCCCTGAGAAACAGGAAATCAACGAGCAGACCGCGTGTACAACCAGTGTCTGAGCATCACACCTGAAGAGTCTGTGCTTTATAGAAAAATAACAAACAGGCTTTCTGAATGGTTTTTAACCTTTTACCCACAATATAAAAACAAAACAAAACAAAGTACTAAACTATGACTTTATAGAGGCTCTGAATTATGACTGTATTACTCTTTATGTCCACACTAACTCTGCCATGTTCTTTCTTACTCTCTATGTATTATATTGCACTTTCTTTTGTTAACTTTAATTACTTCGTTGTTTTGTACCTTTTTTTTTTTATCTTTTCTTATGTCCTGGTTGGCTTTAATCAATGTTTCTCTGATTTAAATCTTTTTTCTTTTTTCTTTATAGATTTTTTTCTCCTAACCATGTGTTCAGAAAATTTATTGTGTTGATTATTCTGAAGACAAGCACTGAATTCTGATTGGGTTTTCCTATAAACAAGTGGATCCTTCATTAATTAAAATATTTTGGAAACAAAAATTGCAAATGAATTTTATACGACTTACATAATACACTATGTGCTTTATTGTGAATTATGATTGCTTCGTTCAATCCGTCTCTTCTTACATTGGTCTGTAATTTATCACGTTTACGGATGTATTTTATAACGTAAGTTTTCTTCCTGGTTTCTCTTCTTGATTATTCTAAGGTCTTCACCCTCGATGTTCATCAGGATCCACCTGATGAGGGGCGAGTCAAATATCAGCTTGTGTTTATCTTCTCACTCCACATCATTATAAACTTGGTCAGATTCTTCCCTTCTCCCCACTGTTTCTTTTTCCTTCTCAACTTGTAGATTTTTTATATATAATAAGCAAAAAACAATTTCCCTCTGTTTTTATGTCCTCTACTAATGTAAATTCATGCTGAATGTTTGCGGTTTCTCGTAACTTCATATACCATGTTATCACCGAGTGTTTGCTGATAATAAAATAAAAAATATCCAAGAGAAAGATGAAAGAGAAAGGAACAATTTAAAAACGTGACATGACAGAGAGATACAAAACCCCTTTTCCTTGTGTTGTCTCGCAGAGAGACACCACACACACGAGCGCGTATCACACCATTCGTGAGTTCAAGCTCTCATTATAAACACACAGAAACCGCCACCATCACCCATCATCAATCCATCATCATCATCATCATCTACACACACACCATCACCACTCCATCATCATCATCACCACCATTTTTTTCAAAAATTTTTTTTTTTCATCATCATACATCATCAATCATCATTCGATCACCACCAGCCACATCTACCACAATCATCACCATCTCCATCATCATCACCATCATCCACCATCACCACCACCATCACCATCTCACCATCACCATCATCACCACCATCACCATCACCATCTCATGACATCACCAATCATCATCTATCACCATCATCTCACCACCATCACCATCATCACCGCATCAAGCATCATACTCTATCACCACCATCACCATCATCACCACCATCACCACATCATCTCAATCTCATCACCACCATCATCATCATTCTCCAACTGAAACATGTTCACTTCCTGAGTACTAACCTTTCATTTCTCTGATAATTAATATAATTATTAATTTGGAACTAAAACTCAGTTCGTCATGTTAACGTGTTGTGAATCTAGTACCGATGTGGCTCAGAGTCTTCGAGATCTTGCTTCGCTCCTCTTCCTGCGGGGGGGTGGGAGGGGGGGGCCGGGGGGGGGGGGGGGGCGTCACTCCAGCTGTCACAAAAAGTCTCCATGTTTCTTCAAGGAAGTCCTGATTTCAAAAACTGGACAGGTAACAACAATCCATAAACCACCACAAAACCAAAAAAAAAAACAAAAACACCCCGTTAATGACTCGATCATCAAGCCCCGCCTCACCTACGGTCTGGGGGCGGGACTCCCTCCTCGGCCTTCTGAACTCTCCCTGGTCTCGCCGTCAGTTCGTCTTTGTTCTCGTGTTTTCAGGTCGAAAGGTTCTTCAGTTTCCTGTTGCCGTTCCGTCCATGCCTTCTGACCTCCTGCCCCCTGCCTGGCCTCACCTTCAGTCCCCGCACTGATGTCCAGTGTGTCATCTGACATTCCATTCACTGTCTGAAACCTTGACGATTGTTTCACCACATTAAGTTTCAAACATCATTTGAGAAGATCCTCCATGTTCTTGTCCTGAATTTCTCACCATGCTCGTCTTGAACGGTTCCTGAAGACGACTTCCAACCCGTCTCCTTCACAGACTCGCCCTCTCAGGCTACCTCCCTCTTTAGTTGCTCCATCCGTAATTCCTGCTCTCTCCCCCTCCCCCTCCCCTCCGTCCTCCCCCTCCAGTTCGACTCCGACACCTCCTCCTCCTCTACCGGCAGGTTCCTCCTCAGCTTTCCCTCTGTTCTCCTCCTCCTCCTTCTTCTTTCTCCTCTCTCTGAGTCCATGGAGCTGGCATGCGGAATATTGGAGGAGGAGGTCCGGAAATTGAGAGAGGTCCTGGTTCCAGAAGATGGGGAGGAGGAGGAAGGCGTTCTTCCGCTGCTCCTCTGGCTGCGACTCGTCTCCAGATACCCCCCTAGTCTCCAGGGTTCACCCTTCCACAAACCAGAAACGTGCTCAGTATCATTTCTACAGCTTCCTGCTTATCACCATTTATCAGTAGATTTTATCACAGCAGCTTGATAGCTAGTGATTCAGCTGTGATCCAGACACTTAAAAAACAGAGCGATTCTCTTCTATGAAGTTCTGGAGACTTGTTCTCTGGATTTTCTAAGTGAATGTGTGTTTGTTATTCACGTCTCTTGTTCAGGGTTGAGTTATAGCTCAGAACTATAACACTAAGAACTGAGGATATACATCTGCTGGGCACCTCCTCTATGTGAGATCCACTCTCCTCTGAGGGTGGATATCTTCCTTTTTTTGCTTCTTCAGGTAAAGCTTCATCGTGTTTCGTTTCTCTCCTGCCTTCTCCTTCGTCAAAGCTCGAACCAATTCCAGTTCACACAGGAACCTGTGAACCTTTCACAATAAATTTAAGACAACAAATCTAAACTTTAAACTTTAAGTTTTCCTTTGGTCGTATCACTTTGCCAATCAGACTAGTTCCCAGCGTCACATTTCCTGTTTATCCAGAGTTTCAGAGAAAATATTGAAGTAATGGCTAAAAAGTCGACTGTTTTCTGAGGTCACACCTGACCTTCTGACCCCCCCCCCCCCTAATCTAATCAGTTCACCCTTGAGTCCAGGTGAATGTTTGTGCCAAAGGTGAAGAAGTTCCGTCAAGGCGTTTCTGAGATATCCTGTTGACAAGAATGAGACGGACAACCCGAAAACAAAATGGCTGCTGCTCTGACTGTCGCCGGGCGGAGGAATAAAATTTAAGTCAAGCTTTATTTTATTGGCCGGATCCCTGTGAGTTTCAGGTGAGCACTAAAACCTGCTGTAAAGACTGTAACAGGTGTCCGGTGCTCTGAACTCACGTGAGCGTTTTGTACTTGGTGCAGATGTTGAGGCGGATGGGTCTTCCTTTAATGTTCAGGGGGTTCACGCTGTAATACTTCACCAGCATCTCTGCGTCCTCCGGGGTTCCCAGCTGGACAAACGCCTACACACACACACACACACACACACACACACACACACACACACACGATACCTGGAAACCTGGTCTGAGCTGAGTCACAGATTAACGAGTTCAAACGTAATTAAAGGAAAACGGTTCGGTCTAAATATCAAATACCTGCTCTGATGAGAACCAGGATAGTCTCTCTTGGACTTGACGCCCTATTTTGTTTTATTTCCTTTTTTTAATTCTTTATTTATAATATTTTTAAAATATATCGTACTTGTTTACTTTTTGTATTCATATTTTATTTACTAATTACTCTGTATGTGTGTGGGTGGAGAGGTTGTATGTGTTTTTGTATGCTCATTAAAAAGCAATTTTTTTTTAAAAGAAAATAATAATAATAATAATAATAATAATAATAATGATAATAACAATAAAATCTCTGCAACAATAAGAAAAACCCTCAGTTTACCTGGTCAGTTAAAAACAGGTGTTTCTCCACGACGCCGAAGCGTCTAGCAATGGTCAGCAGCTCCTTCTTCTTCTCCTCCTCTCTGGGCAGGTTGGAGAAGAAAACCACCTGGCTGCCGTGACCTTTGACCTCCCTGACAGGTCTGTCCCTCGACCTGTCCGAGGACCGCTCGTCCTTCTGAGGGTCAAACACAAAAAGCTGCGTCAGACTCTGAGGCTGAGGCGAGCGACAGTTTGATGAGTTTTATTTGTTGAAACGACGCGTCACCTCGATGACCATCAGCCTCTTGGACAGGTAGAAGGTGATGGGTTTGCCGTACAGAGACGCCGGATGCTGCTCGTAGTAGTTCACCATGTCCTGAGCCTCCTCGTGACTGTTCATCTCCAGGAAGGCCTGAGGGACACGGAGATAAAACTCCAGGGTCAGGACATTTAAACACAGTCTGTCATAATACAGCACAAATTGAAGAAGACGTGAAGCCGTCTCCGAGCAGCGGAGGCCGACCCGGTCTCTGCACCTTGTTCTTCAGGACCAGGTGTTCCCTCAGGCAGCCGAACGGCTCGGTGAAGGCGAACAGAGTCTTGTTGCTGAGAGGCTTCCTGTCGTACTTCACCACCACCACTCTGCTCCTCAGCTGAGGACAAACAACATTTCACTTCACTTTACTGCAGCACCTCAACCATTATCACACACCTTTAATTAGCAACCCCGTCTAACCCTGAATCAACTATCAAACTCTCCGACTGTGTTCCTTTAGTAAACACAGTCGGAGAGTTTTCTTTCTCCAGATGGTTCGCTGCTGTGAGCCCTGACCTGTGTTTCCATTTACCCACATGATACAATTCAGTGCATTAATTAGATCTTAGATTAGATGAATGTTTACAGGAGAGTGACAGAGGAGCAGACCGACCTTATTCTGTCCCAGCTGGTTGTTTCCTGACAGACCGGGACCTCCACCTCCTCCTGACAAACACACTGAGCGTTAACACGTTTTCTTTGTTTCATATCGATCTCCTGCTTTTTGTAAAGATAGAAGAAGAAGAATGAGGAAGAGGAGCAGAAGAAAAGGAAGAATGAGGAGGAGAAAAACAATGACGAGTAGTAGAAGGAGAAGAAGAACGAGGAGGAGTACAAGAGGAAGAACGAGGAGGAGGAGAAGAAGAAGAGTAAGGAGGAGGAGGAGGAGAAGAAGAAAAGGAAAAATGAAGAGGAGGAGGAGCAGAAGAAGAAGAAGAGTAAGGAGGATGAGGAGGAGAAGAAGAAGAAGAGTAAGGAGGAGGAGGAGAAGAAGAAGAAGAGTAATGAGGAGGAGGAGGAGGAGAAGAAAAGGAAGAATGAAGAGGAGGAGGAGCAGAAGAAATAGAGTAAGGAGGATGAGGAGGAGAAGAAGAAAAGGAAGAATGAAGAGGAGGAGGAGGAGAAGAAGAAGAAGAAGAAGAGTAAGGAGGAGGAGAAGAAGAAAAGGAAGAATGAAGAGGAGGAGGAGGAGAAGAAGAAGAAGGAGGAGGAGGAGGAGGAGAAGAAAAGGAAGAATGAAGAGGAGGAGGAGGAGAAGAAGAAGAAGGAGGAGGAGGAGGAGGAGAAGAAAAGGAAGAATGAAGAGGAGGAGGAGGAGAAGAAGAAAAGGAAGAATGAGGAGGAAGAGGAGCAGAAGAAAAGGAATAATAATGTGTGCGTCTTACCCCAGCTGGAGGACATCCCTCCTGCTGTCTGAGCTGAAGACATGGGGGCGGGTCCCAGTAGTCCTGCAGACAGGTTGGGGGTCTCCAGTACCCCCCCACTGGAACAGAAACAGAGTTATCAAACAGCTCGGAGCTTAAACCTCTGAAACCTCTCAGGTCGACAGAATAGAGTTTACACCCTTAAAGATAAAGGAGAAAGCTCGACTTTACGGGTTACCACCGTCCACATGAAGGAAGGTGTATTACTGAGTATTATTAGTTGAGTCCACACGGAGACGTTTGATGGATATGTTTCTTAACCTTTATATAGAAAAAATACACCTGGCTCCGAAATGATCGATTAGTTGATTACAGAAAATTAAACTATTATGACAATCGATTAATAATTAACACAGCTTTTCAAAATAAAAATCCAAAAATAAAAATCATAAGTTTCAGCCTCTCAGTAGCGAGAACCGATTATCTCTGGATGTTGGACAAAGACACAAGATGTCACCATTTCGTGACTAAATTAATAACGATTAATCGGTAATGAAAAGCCCTTTATGTACACTGTGTGTTAAAGCTAACGAGTCACTTCACTGTAGAGGAAACCAACTAATATGAAAAGCTCCTACATTCTTCTACAGTTTCATCCGATGTGTGTGTGTGTGTGTCTCTTACCCTCTGCCAGAGGCCATACCAGGGTCCCAGTCTGGGTACCTGAAGACAACACAAATATAACCAACATTTTACAACAGTTAGTTTGAACCGAGTGATCTGATTGGACAGAGTCATTCCATGAGGCTGATATAGAGAATAACAGCACTGGGACTTTTCACTACATGTATCACTCCTCTTCACAGCTGGTATATTAACCATTGATCAGCATCACATTAACGTTCAGATTGTAACAAACAAAGATGAAAATATTTCAGGAATAACATTTGAATGAAACGATGTCTTGTCATCAGGAGAGGCTGAAGGGAGAAGCCTGGATACTTCAGAAACACCTGAGGGAACGAGGAGACAAGGTAGCAAGCTAGCTAGCAGGACATTGTTCATGTGTTGCTTAGCAACAGTACAGTACCAGTCATGTTGCAGAACTATTTGTGTTGTCTCAGCCAAATAAATGATTAAATAAACAAACAAATCGTGATCTGTTGTTTATTTAACTAATATGGCGCATGACAACTGTTGTATAAAAGAAACATCTCACTGAGGGAGAGGCGTTGTTCTGAAACTCAGAACGGTGTGTGTGTGTGTGTGTGTGTGTGTGTGTGTGTGTGTGTCACAGTGACTCACATGTCGAGAAGCTGTCGTCTGTTCTCAGCATGTCGGAGTCCGTTAATGTGCTGGTTCCACTCCTACAAACAGAGAATTACTGACACTCAGCGAGCTGTTCCTCCTCCAGTGAACCTCTGTTAGAGGAGAGTTCACCTCAATATTAAACCTTTTGTGTTTGAGCCAAATAAACACTGGATCCTTGTTTTCAGAATTCAAGAGCCAAATTCAAACTCCGGCCAGTATTAGAAATTAAAAGTAAAGTTCGCTTTAGGTGGGTCTCAGTCAAATGTCAGCTTTATAAAAACAGGTGTAACAGACGACTGCAGGTTCTCTTCACCACCTGAAACGTGACAATGAATTTCTTCCTGCTGTAACTAGACCTGGGTGTTAGAGCTGCTCGATTATGTATGTTCAAGTAAGTTCTTGTTATTATTTACAAGAAGGACGGAGGAGACGATAAATCCTGCCTCTTTCAGATATATAATTACTGGAGTATAAATCAACTAATGAGCAACAAGAAATTACAAATTATTCAAATCCACAATTAAATGATTCATATCAAAAAGGTGTTTAAACAAAATGACCATCAGCTGATATACCTGTGGAGCAATAGATCTGAACACCTGTTTTTAAACAGCTGATACTGAGATTCAAGTGTTTGAGGAGACAGTGAGTGATGTCATCATGTAATCAGCTGCTGATTGGTTCAAGAGACACTTCCAGACTTGAATCTGCATCTGCAGCAGGTTTGAACAATAAAGTTGAATTTTATTGTGACACTTTTCTGTTTAACTTCCAGGTGTCACATATGTGATTATATGTAACATGTGAATACTTTAACTGGATGATCTGAGGGTGAATTGATAGTGACAAGAACTGAATCTATCTGAAGATAATTGGCTGATGTCGACTGAAGAGACTCAGACCTGACTGGTTCATGTTGCAGAGCTTCAGGTGTAAGAAAATGAAGATACAGTTCATGCTGTCAGGTGACAAAAAACAAGGAAATTACACGATGCAAACTGGACTTCCAGTGACTGGAGCATGAGGGACGGTTACCACCTGCCACTGACTGACGTGGACAGAAGACTGGAGCTGAGCTCAGGTATCTGAACAGAAACATTTAAAGTTAGTCCGAAGGGAAAAGAGGAGGCTGGACGGTACTCACCATGGTGGAATGAACGTCAAAGTCACAAAGAGAGCACACATGGGGGAACATGGGGGGCATGACTCCCAAGAAGTCTTGGACTTTTCCGTTTGATGGGGAGCCCATCCTCCTCTGCATAAAGACGGAGTCGGACGACGGCGGCCCCATGCCGAGCCCACTGTAGGAATCGTGATGGGAAAGTTCAGAATACGGCCTCTCTCTGCTCCCACTCCCGCTGCTGCTGTAATTCAAGCCATAGCCGCGGCTGGAGGAGACGTCCTGCAGGGAACTGTACCCAAAGTCAGTAGAGGGCTGGGCCCGGGCTGAACCCTGAGCCAGAGAAGGACCGTCCATCCTCCCCATGTGCACGTTGTCCCAGCTGTCCCTCCCTCCTCGATATGCAGCATCAGAGGACATGGAGGACGCCCCCCGACGCTCTCCTGCGTCCCCCTTGCGGTTCTTGAGCTGCATGAGGATGTGCGGCAGCGTCTCCACGCTGATGTCCTCCTCTGGGATTTCAGCCAGAGCGTCCAGGTCAGAGGGCGACAGCCCTAAACTGGCAAACAGCTTCATGGTGCTGCCAAGATTGCTGCCCCCGCCACGCCGGGACATCTGACCGCTGCCATCCTGGCCCTCCACACCACTGCCCACCCCCACACCTGAGGCCATGCCCCCCATCTGCCGGCTGGATCTCTGCTCGTTCATGCTGAAGTTCAAGGTCTCTGCGGCAGCCAGGAGCCCCCGACCCACAGCGAAGTGTTTCTGACTGCCGTCTGACTGCGACTTCTGAGACATGATGTCACAAAGGGGAGCCGCTCTCTCAGTACAGCTGAGTCAAGATAAAGAATGAAGCAGGTGTCTATCTTTAAGAATTGGGTAAGTTAATGTCAGTTAATGTCTTGTGCAAAGACTAAATGTGGTCAAAGTGAAGGGGAACTCCTCTTCTTCTCTGGAGAGTTTCTGCTGAAACACAATGAGGCAGAGACATTCTTCAGACGCTGCCTCCACTATGAAGCCAGCGGAAGGGCTCTGAGCCACAGAGGCATGTAAACAGAAGAAAATGACTGCGATTCATTAACAGCCACCTGAGCAGGTGAAAGTTGTAATTACTGGGACATGAGAGGCAATTAAAGAAGGCTAAGAAAGGAGACAGAAAAGGCTTTAAAAGACTCAAAATTCACCTCAGACAAGGAGGAAGAAAATGAACTGATGTGGACAGAGAGTGATGGAAGCATCCTCAGTGAAAGAGAAATTTCAAAACATCAGAGAGATGTGATTAATATAATAAACCTCTATATCACTGTTTGTTAACGGCTTATAGTCACTTTTATAAAGACGTGAAAGAAGAATAAGAATCATCTTAACAGAGACTTTATTAAATACTTCATCTGCACAGACAGCGGGGTCCAAGAGTCTGAGACCGCTTTTCTACTCTCAGGCCTTTGAACCACACTGTACAGTACATGTACCCAGTGTCACTGACCCAGACCCACTTGTCTGGTTTCACACTCATTAAATGTGAATTTTAGCATCACTAACCCCAAATAGACGAAGTTTAATCCCTTGTGTATTTGTAAATGACTGTCATTGACATCAAAGTATTCTAGAGTCTTGAAAGGATGGGGTGAACTGGACCAATACACAACACAGCAGGTTAAATCCGAGTCTTTTTAAAGATTATAATTTAATACCTACTTCACACTAACACACACATCAAAATCAGAGGAGAATTCCTGACAATAACTGAAAATAATAATTTATCACAATCTGAATGAGCAGAATAAAAATGGATGGAGAACCTTATCCATGGAGTTAAGAGAACGTCACAGGTCTGAATCAATAGTTCTAGAGATTTCACAGCAGCTTTAACTAATAATCAGATATTTTACTGATTAACAGGCCTTGAAGTGCTCTTTTCAAAGACTCGTCAGGACCTGCACAGACCCTAAATCAGTATGCCCATAGTGAAACACTATCTGGAGAGTAAACGTGGAAAAGTTTCAGTTTGGTGAAAATTTCTACCACAACATTTGAATGAGGGAGAGCTGAAACCTGAGCTATGTTAGCAGCGAAGCTAACTCGCTGTTATCACCCCGGAGTTTGAAGCTACTGACGCACTATTTATCCAGAGAAGTTTGTAAATGAACGTGTGTATCGAGCTCCGTGACTTAAAATGCCGAAATTATTTATATTGGTTTTCTCTTCACCTGGAGGCCGAGGTCAACAGTCGAGGCTAACGTCTACATACAACGACTGCCACTAGCATTAGCCTGCTCCTACATGCTAATGCTCTTCGTGAGCTAACGTAGTTTATAACTTCATTTCAGGGTTTTAATTTCGTACTGTGCCAATTGTAAATAAAACAGTTCACCATCGACTCATATATATAATGATGTCGTTTATATGTGTGAATTGAAGCACTTACCTTAGTTTTCCTTACTGCGTAGCTGGCAGCTAGCTGATCCTGCTAGCGCACAGGAGAGCGTAGCAACGAAGTATCGCGATATTTAGACTCTTCTCGACATATCATCTGTGAATATGATAATGATAATTATAAATTTGATTATTAATATGATTACTAAAACACACACCGTTCCGAGATAGTTCTTTAACGTGTATGTTGTTTGAGAGCGAGATAAACGAACCAAACCGGAGTGCGGACTACAGTGCTGCCTTCAGGAACCTTTGCAAGTTTCCACTCCACTCTCTGAAGATGTCGCAGCTGTGAGGACGGCGGAAGGAAATAAATAAAAAATATTCTTGATAAAACTGGGAAATACTGAGTCAAACTTTGTACAATATATTTTAATAATAGGAAATTCCACATTCATGGGAAGGGACTGGACACACTTTTTTAGATTTCTCGATATATATAATTTACACTTCCCACATCAACAAAACAAAACAGAGATCAATAATCTTAACGACAAAAAAAAGTACAATAACACACATTCACTCCACATGTCAAGTAAACTCAACCTCAATATCTTCAAATCTGATCAATTTAAAGGAAATGTGTTGAATATATATAAACATACATCATATATAATAATGAAAATATACAAATGACGTATTAATGGAGGTTAAAATCAGACTTTATTGATCAACTTCAATCATACAACTGACTAAAACTGAGTGAAAGACATTAGTATTGTTTGAATATGTAGATAATAGCAAACAAAGAAATAAAAAACAACACTAGCCTACTAATAAATAGTAATCACAACGTTCATAAACATACAGTTCATTTATTTGAAAGCAATTTTGACTAAATGAAGGCTTAAATGTCACGTTATTCCTGTGTCCAAGGACAGTTGAGTCTGTTTTCTTTCCTAAGAGTAGACATCACAGAGAGATTAATACAAGTGGCATTGATTTGGTGAAGTATCAACAGTTGTGCATTCCATTAAAATATTCATTAAATGTCAGAAATGACAAATGAAAATGTGGAATGCAGGAATTGCAATCCACATTTCACGGTGTAGTTTCACTTTGTGAGCTCGTGGAGCTTTAAAATGTGATTTAAAACTGGATAAAACTCCATTTTCAGCTTCAGGCGCAACTACAACGCCAACGCATGCGCATAGGGAATATAACGTAACTGACAGGCGACCAAATGAAAAAGAGCGTCAAAATCTAGATCACAAAAATTACAAATCTCTCTGGTTTGAGAATTGAAACAGACATTTGGGATAATCTAAGTACACAGCTCAAAATACGTAACATTATTTTAGTATTTTTTTTTATATTTAATGTGGAAAAGTTATAACTTAACTACCTATCTAACTACCAAACTACCTACCTAACTACCTAACTAACTAACTAACTAACTAACTAACTAACTAACTAACTAACTAACTAACTAACTAACTAACTAACTAACTAACATAATATAACTTTACCTGTTGTTCCACAGTGCTGTCGGGGCTGTTCTCACATCGTGTACAGCCCATTAGAAAACTCTCATATCAAGTCTGTTTACCTGTTCTCATTCTTGTTGGCTCCGCCCGCGTCTTCCTCCTGTTACCTAGTCAACCGTGACGTCACGGCACCGCCCGTTGGACAGGTAAAGTTTCACTTCTTGAGCTCGTGGAGCCGCGGTGTCCTCTCCCTCCGTCCAAAGGTATTTGTAAGCGACACTTTCCACAGTTTGACTCTTGAATGATGTTTGTTCAGGTGAGTGAGGTGTTTACTTCCAGTAGGAACAGCAGAGATGTGACTAACAGCTCCCAGCTTTGACTGGACACGTCTCACTGGTTCAGGGCTCGAACCGTCCGGTACCAGTGGCGGGAAAAGTCCCGAGTTGTCAGTCAGAAGAAAACGTCCCGACATTGATGTAACTTGTGTTGTTTGTGTGGTTTAAAGTAAAAGTGCAGCACCCCTCCCCCACACGCCTACCAGGCTGTAGGCCTGTTCACTTTAGTTTCATATTAACGTTCCCGCTGTTGCTGCGTCATGTCGCGTGCTGCCATGGTCCCGTCTGTGTAAACTGCGTAGAGGCCATTTTGTGAAGGCGGGATTTGAACCTGTACTTCAGGAGAACCTACAGGTGAAGGTGGAAAGTCTCTGGGAGCTGATGTGGAGGTGAATTCAGGTAACATGGTTCATGTGTGGAGCTTTTGGCTGCGTGCTCTGACCGGATACAGTAGTACAGTACAGTGGGGTTTCAAATGTTGAAGAGCTTTTCAAAGTCCGTCAGACAGAAGTGAAAACTTGCAGCAACATGGAAACTGTCAGATCAGTGTATTGATTATTGGGATGAAGCAGCTGTTCCAAAGCTCCACGGGTTTCCTCCCGTCAGAGCTCTGTGTGTTTGTCATGTGACTGAGAGGAATGATGGGAAATGATGTGTGCGCTCTCCCAGCAGGTTGTTGTGTTGGTGTGACGGTGGGGGCTCTGCTATGGATCAGTGTGAGGACAGAGAGGAGGAAGCCCCTCCCTCTGAAACCTCTCTGTGTGGGCAACATGACAGAACGACCACAGCTCAGAGGTGAGCATCTCTAACTGTTGTTCCATCAAGTCACGTTATGACGTCTATAATGTTCACTTCTATGTTTTATCATTGAGCTCATAGTCAGTGATGGTGTTGTACTGGACTACATTATATTCAGAGGTGTTCCTAATATTCTGACCCCTGCTGTATGTAAACAGGGAATAGCTCTCAGTATAATGTCGTCAGTACAACACCAGCTTTAACTGTGACCTCTTTATAAATGTCCGACAGTGTCGACAAAACCTGAACATTGTTATTGTTTTAAAGGTAGAATTTAAAGCACAACTGTTGTTCTGAATTACAACAGATTGCACAGCTGTATCTAATGAAGTGTGAACTCAGCGTATGTTAAAACTTTAATGTATTTTACATCAGTATTTTGTCCAATATTCACATGTATCATTGATGTTTTTGTATCAGGATCCATCAGAGACCTAAATCTCCTGATCCCAGCTGTGTGTCCTTCAAGAGCGACCGGTCGAAGGAGTTTGATATTAATTTTAAACAAAGACATTTATCTGATGAAAAGTAAGTTTGTCTCAGTATTAATACTTTATTATATTTTGCTTCAACTGAATATGTGACTGTTAATTCATTATTTTGTTTCTTTTTCATCAGGATCCATCAGAGACCAGACTCTCCTGGACCTGGTTCTGAGCCTGAACCCAGCTGTGTGTCCATGAAGAGTGACAACAGTATGAAGTTACCTTTAAACTTCAAAGATAAACTCCAGTCGGTCGATCAAAGGTAAGAGTTTCAGACTGATGATGGAAAGTCTTTCCTGACACATTACAGTGTGATATTCATCCTCTGTTGATGCTGCTGTTTCCCACTGAGCACAAACACGTCTGAACTACATCAGAGAGACATGATATCAGTTCACAGGAGTCAGGGGGAAAGTTTTCCTACATTCATTTAGGACGTTTCACTGAACATCACTAATAACACGTCTGAAAAACGTTGGACGTAAAGACGCTACGACTGAAGACATGATACCTGTCGTTCTGTAAAAAGGTGCAACTCACCTGAAGACCTCACCTACTAAAGCTGAGATGAAATGACTTTATAAATATACATTCATAAAAAAGATCTCTGCAAGCTTTTCATTATTTAAAAATAATAATTCTGAAACTTCATTAAGAGAATAAAAACTAATAAAATGTGACACCTGATACATTACATACACATAATACAAAATACCTTTTAGTGAGGGAACCATAAACTGAAACAACAACAACACAAAACTCTCATGTAGTCACATGGTTTGTGTTCAGTAGGACTACATCACTCTTCTCTCACCAAAGACACTGGATGAAATCACAGGTTTTCAGACTTTAGATTTAAAGTAGAAATTAAAAAGTGGTTGTGTTTCTATGGTAACGACTCACAGAATCAGGTGGTAGGATGGTGGTAGTGTGTCTGCTGCTCAGCTTCCTTTTCACTCAGCTCACCTTATAATAACTGTCACTCAGCAGGACTAGTAAACCTTTACCGCTACAGGGAGTCGTCTGATTGGCTGTCACATCCAAACGTGACTTCATGGACCTTTAGCTTGTGTCTGTCTCTGTGTGGACAGACATAATGTGAGCTCATTCTTCATGATTCCTCCACAGAGTGGACCAGGAGAGCTCAGAGGTTCCCAGTGCTCAGTCTGCCCAGCAGCATCAAACACAGCTGGACTCCATATTTATGGTCTGTACATGTACAACAACTACTGCTCCATCTGTTGTGTTCACAATAATCTCCATGCTGCACTTTCAGACCAGTGGACTGTCAGTCTGTCCAACATGGATCTGATGTTTGATGCTGTCATTCATATAGTTTTCTGTTCCAGCTGCTGGAGGAGAACATGGTCACTTTTGTCAAGAACGAGCTGAAGAAGATGCACAAGCTTCTGAGTCCAGATTACCCAGAATGCTCAGGGAGTCAGAGGGAGGATGAGGAGGTGTTGGACGGTGAGGATGAAGAGCAGAGGAGGAGCAGAGAGGCATTTGTGAAGATCACAGTGAACTTCCTGAGGAGAATGAAGCAGGAGCAGCTGGCTGACTGTCTGCAGAGCAGTAAGAGGATTTCTCTAAAGATTCAACATGATGGAGAAATGAGACATTTACTAACATCAACACATGGAGGGAAACATGTTCATACATGTTTTCTTTAGGGAGATGAAATGATGAAATATTGACTTTATAGTTTCTTCATTGATCTTATTTGTTGTTTGTTCCTTCAGAACTTATTGCTCCACTTTGTCGACGTGAACTCAAATCTAACCTGAAGAAGAAGTTCCAGTGTGTGTTTGAGGGGATCGCTAAAGCAGGAAACCCAACCCTTCTGAACCAGATCTACACAGAGCTCTACATCACAGAGGGAGGGACTGGAGAGGTCAATGATGAACATGAGGTCAGACAGATTGAAACAGCATCCAGGAAACCAGTCAGACCAGAAACAACCATCAGACAAGAAGACATCTTTAAAGCCTCACCTGGAAGAGACGGACCAATCAGAACAGTGATGACAAAGGGAGTGGCTGGCATTGGGAAAACAGTCTTAACACAGAAGTTCACTCTGGACTGGGCTGAAGACAAAGCCAACCAGGACATACAGTTCACATTTCCATTCACCTTCAGAGAGCTGAATGTGCTGAAAGAGAGAAAGTTCAGCTTGGTGGAACTTGTTCATCACTTCTTTACTGAAACCAAAGAAGCAGGAATCTGCAGGTTTGATCAGTTCCAGGTCGTGTTCATCTTTGACGGTCTGGATGAGTGTAGACTTCCTCTGGACTTCCACAACACTGAGATCCTGACTGATGTTACAGAGTCCACCTCAGTGGACGTGCTGCTGACAAACCTCATCAGGGGGAAACTGCTTCCCTCTGCTCGCCTCTGGATAACCACACGACCTGCAGCAGCCAATCAGATCCCTCCTGAGTGTGTTGACGTGGTGACAGAGGTCAGAGGGTTCACTGACCCACAGAAGGAGGAGTACTTCAGGAAGAGGTTCAGAGATGAGGAGCAGGCCAGCAGGATCATCTCCCACATCAAGACATCACGAAGCCTCCACATCATGTGCCACATCCCAGTCTTCTGCTGGATCACTGCTACAGTTCTGGAGGAGGTGATGAAAACCAGAGAGGGAGGAGAGCTGCCCAAGACCCTGACTGAGATGTACATCCACTTCCTGGTGGTTCAGTCCAAACTGAAGAAGGTCAAGTATGATGGAGGATCTGAGACAGATCCACACTGGAGTCCAGAGAGCAGGAAGATGATTAATTCTCTGGGAAAACTGGCTTTTGAGCAGCTGCAGAAAGGAAACCTGATCTTCTATGAATCAGACCTGACAGAGTGTGGCATCGATATCAGAGCAGCCTCAGTGTACTCAGGAGTGTTCACACAGATCTTTAAAGAGGAGAGAGGCCTGTACCAGGACAAGGTGTTCTGCTTCGTCCATCTGAGTGTTCAGGAGTTTCTGGCTGCTCTTCATGTCCATCTGACCTTCATCAAGTCTGGACTCAATCTGATGTCAGAAGAACAATCAACCTCCTGGAAGTCTAAACTGTTCAGAAACAAACCTGAACCAACACTCTTCTACCAGAGAGCTGTGGACGAGGCCTTACAGAGTCCAAATGGACACCTGGACTTGTTCCTCCGCTTCCTCCTGGGTCTTTCACTGCAGACCAATCAGACTCTCCTACGAGGTCTGATGTCACAGACAGGAAGTGGCTCACAGACCAATCAGAAAACAGTCCAGTACATCAAGAAGAAGATTGAAGAGACTCCCTCTGCAGAGAAAAGCATCAACCTGTTCCACTGTCTGAATGAACTGAATGATCGTTCTCTAGTGAAGCAGATCCAACAGTCCCTGAGATCAGGATGTCTCTCCACAGATAAAATGTCTCCTGCTCAATGGTCAGCTCTGGTCTTCATCTTACTGTCCTCAGAAGAAGATCTGGAGGTGTTTGACCTGAAGAAATACTCTGCTTCAGAGGAGGCTCTTCTGAAGCTGCTGCCAGTGGTCAAAGCCTCCAACAAAGCTGTGTAAGTCCACAGATATTTGGTTTCATGGAAAAGGTTTCTGTTATATTTTAAGATGAGAGACAAACGAATGAATTAATCAACATGAAATATTTCTCCACATTGACGTGCAGGTATAAACTCTCCAGCTTGTTTAGAATAGAGCATCAAATACTCAAAATGTGAGAAGAGATTACACATCACCAAAAACATAAAGTGTGATTTTATTTGAATACTAATGTTATTTCTGTTCTTGTTCATATCATCTCTTCAGATTGAGTGGCTGTAACCTCTCAGAGAGAAGCTGTAAAGCTCTGTCCTCAGTCCTCAGCTCCCAGTCCTCTAGTCTGAGACACCTGGACCTGAGTAACAACAACCTGCAGGATTCAGGAGTGAAGCTGATCTCTGCTGGACTGGAGAGTCCACACTGTGCACTGGAGACTCTCAGGTCAGGTCAACCTGTTCAGATATGGTCAATGTTCTTATTCTGATCAATAACAGATAAACCTGTGCATGCTCCTTCTGTTTGTTATTATAGAACCAGTTATAGTTGTTTATTCACTGATCAGTTGATGATGATCAATTGTTTTTATGCCTCCGTGCTGACGACAGTCAGGACCAGACAAATTACTAAGAGCTATTCACAAAGCCACTTAACGCTAAAAGCTTCTAAGTCTGGGAGAAGTTAGAAGTAGTGGAGAGGACTCCTAACTCACTAAGACCAAATCAATAACAATCTTAAAGGGCTGCTGTCATTCCACGTCGAAGTGTTTTGGAAACCTCACACGATGCTGAATCACTGAAAATATATGACTCAATCACGAGGGAATAATGATCGTTGTGGAGTTTGTGAAGGATTAAATAACATCTCCAACTGAAACAACCCGTTCAGCGCGGAAATTAAGTGTTTGACGACGCTGCGTTACTTGGCAACAGAGAAAAGCCGATCTATTCACCAAACAATAAGTGCGCTCTGACCCGACATCATTGAACAATTCATACAATGTCTGTAGCGGAGGGCTACAAACCTGTACTGTATGTAGGGCAGCACGCTTAAGCCACCTAAACCCAACTGCACAATTAAGCTAATAAAGGTAGGCCGCTAGCCACTTCCGCAGGCGTCCCACTCTGGACATGAAGATACTGTGGACAATCACTAAATGACTGGGAAGGGCTGGGGATAATGAAAAACAGTGTAGATTTATAACACTAAATAAACAGACATAAACACACTCAGAGTAAACAGAGTAAAACACTAGATTTAGATATGCTAAATCACTGAACTAATGCCCACACTAATGGTACCAAGTTGCCTGGGGTTGGAGCTCACGTGGAGATATAACGTCCCAGATGATGGTGAAGGAAAGAGGGGGGGGGGTTGCCGGGGGATCCATTGACCGATGGGGAGAGGAGGCAGGCTAACCTTAAAGAGAGGAGGAAGGTAACTGTCAACGAAGGGGGTTATCAGCTGCAGAGTCATGGGTTTCCACGTTGTTGGGAACGTGGTTGACGAAGCAAAACTAGCCGAGCTGGCTAGCAACTCCCAGCTGATGCAGTCCGCACAGAAGTCAGGAGACAGTCTCTAAAATCCCTCTTCACGGTGCCGATATTCCTCAGACGGCGAAATCCCTCAGGTAGAGTCTCACACTGGCATAAAGGTCCCTTAGGTTACCAAACTTGAGAGCTAGGAGCTAAGTGTGGCTACTTCAGCCGAATTAGTCTCTTTATTTGTCTTACTTCTCAAACTTGCACACACACACACACAGGATCACGCACCAATCAGGACGCAGTGCGCCAACAGACTACAGCAGCACCAGTAGAACCACACACAACATGCGCACACACAACATGTGCCGCATGAACCAAACTATACAGAACAGTATTAATAATGAATAGAAAATAATAAACCGAGGCAAATAGAATAGGAATAAAGGGAACTTAACCGGGCAGCAGCAAGGGGGAACTAAACTTCTAAACTTAGAAGCTCATAGTCGAAGTCAATTCGGATAGGTTCAGTCGTGGGCAGTCCTCTGGCCATCCACATTCTTTGATGTTGGTTTACTACTTAGGAGGATGAAGACGCAGAAGCAGGATCAGGAGGTAGGTTCTCTGCGTGGGGGCCAGGGAAGGCAGGGAGCTCTATTAGTTTTGTCACTGTTCTGGTGTAGGTCTGCCCCCAAACCAGAACATCCGCTGCCCTGACCTTCCATCGGAACTCACGATGACCTTACTCACTCTACCCACTGGCCACACAGCTCTGGGCAAAGACTGATACACTATCATCACTACTGTACCTTCTGTCAGGTTACTCTTATCTTTCACCCACTTCTGTCTGGCCTGAGGTGAGGGCAAGTAGTACAGGAGGAAGTGGGACCGGAATTGATCCGCAAGAACCTGGCTGTGTCTCCACATCCTTCTTCCTCTCATCTCATCTTGATTGTACACGCTTTGGGGGGAGAGCAGGGTCCAGCCGCCCCATGAGGAGATAGTGCGGAGTCACAGGGTCAACATCCACAATGTCGGTGGACACGTATCCAAGTGGCTTTGAGTTCAGTACTCCCTCTATTTCGGTAAGCACCGTGGCGAGGACTTCATCACTGACGGTCTGGGCCCCGAGGACGGTGTACAGGGCTGTCTTGATGGACCTCACTTCTCTTTCCCAAGTCCCCCCGAAGTGAGGGGCATTCGGGGGGTTGAACTGAAAGTGAACTTGAGCTGGAGCTAGGTGAGTCTTCTGTAATCGCTCCAAAGCTCTCCCGCAGCTCGGACTCTCCTCCCTTGAAATTAGTTCTATGATCCAATAGTAGAGTTGCAGGTGTCCCTCTCCTGGCCTGGAACCTCCAGAAGGACATCAGGAAGGAGTCAGCGCTCATAGATTGCAACAGTTCGATATGTACCGCCCTAGTCGTCATACACTTATAGACGATTCCCCACCGCTTCTCAGTCCCTCTTCCTCTCTTGACCAAGAACGGGCCGAAACAGTCCACTCCAGTTGAATGGAACGCCCTCTCTCCTATCTTCAGACAACAGGGTGGCAGGTCGGCCATCTGTGGTATGGCAGGCTGAGCTCTTCACCTTTGACAATCAGCGCAGGTTTGCTGAAATCTACGCACAGCTTCTCTTCCTTGGAGGATCCAGAACCGTCTCCTGATCTCCGCGACGACCCTCTCTTCCCCTGCATGGCACACTAATTGGTCGTACCGTTGGATGATCAACTCTGTGACTCTATGCTTGCTAGCATTCCTAGGACGATAGGGTGTTTCACATCTTCCGCTAAATTCAGGGCACGTCACAGCCTGCCCCCAACTCGGATCAGGCCTTGGGCGTCAAGTTCTGGGGCCAGGGTCAGGAGTCTACTGTCACAGGGGACAGGCTTCCCCTCCTGTAGACACTTCAGACCCTCGGGAAAGGAGTTCCTCTGGGCCCTCTTCGGGACCAGCAACTCAGCTTCAGCATAATCTGCCACACTGAGGTCCGATGTGACAGGAAGCTCCCGGTAATGCCAGAACAACGTCCTTTTCTGTAAGTCCTCGAGTGTCAGACAGCCATCCATCTCAGGACCTTCACTGGGTTTAGCTTGATTTAGACCACAGAAAAGCGATTTCTTCAGCTCTGGATCCTCTTGACTCTCAGTCATGGATGACTGCCTCGGCCACTCCTCCTCAGGCTGTTGAAGGAACCATGACTGTAGGTATTTGTTTGGGACAAGGATGTACCTTGTCACTGAACTAATTCTCACACTAATGGTACCAAGTTGCCCAGGGTTGGAGCTCACTTGGAGATAACGTCCCAGATGATGGAGAAGGAAAGGGGGGGGGGGTGACGGTGACTTAACCGGGCAGCGGCAAGGGGGAAGTAAATATTACTCAAAATTAGCTTAATTGAACTAAATTTATACAAGAGATTCTGAGGCTTCAGTGCAATGTCCTTTAGATGTTCAACAACTACACTGTGATCAGAGCCAGAGATGGAACACAGGTAAAAATTATTACACTATCACAAGACGAGTAGGTGTTTGTAAACCGCAGTTGCATGACAAGAGGTGCAGCTACAACAGGCTGTGGCCAATAGGCTGCCAGTTAGATTTAGTTAGATCGTCTTGGACAAGTTCGTTTATTTTTTTTTTTTTTCCATTGAGAAAATTGAATGTTAGTTTTTACAGTAAAATCAAGTTCTCATGGGTTGACATAAACCTGATCATACAGATGCATTCATAAAGTGTGATTTTTATTTGAATACTAATGTTATTTCTGTTCTTGTTCATATCATCTCTTCAGACTGAGTGTCTGTAACCTCTCAGAGAGAAGCTGTGAAGCTCTGTCCTCAGTCCTCAGCTCCCAGTCCTCCAGTCTGAGACACCTGGACCTGAGTAACAACAACCTGCAGGATTCAGGAGTGAAGCTGATCTCTGCTGGACTGGAGAGTCCACACTGTGCACTGGAGACTCTCAGGTCAGGTCAACCTGTTCAAATATGGTCAATGTTCTAATCCTGATCAATAACAGATAAACCTGTGCATGCTCCTTCTGTTTATTATTATAGAACCAGTTATAGTTGTTTATTCACTGATCAGTTGATGATGATCAATTATCTTTATGCCTCCGCGCTGACGACAATCAGGACCACAGACATTACTAAGCTATTCACAAAGCTGCTTAGCACTAAAAGCTCCTAAGTCTGGGAGAAGTTAGAAGTAGTGGAGAAGACTCCTAACTTAATCAGGAGGGAATAATGATCGTTGTGGAGTTTGTGAAGGATTAAATAACATCTCCAACTGAAACAACCCGATCAGCGCGGAAATTAAGTATTTGACGACGCTGCGTTACTTGGCGACAGAGAAAAGCCGATTTATTCATCAAACAATAAGTGCGCTCTGACCCGACATCATTGAACAATTCATCCGATGTCCTTTAGATGTTCAACAACTACAGAGAAATAAAGCAGCTTCATGGTCGGTCTACCCGCTGTGATCAGAGCCAGAGATGGAACACAGGTAAAAATTATTGCACCATCACAAGACGAGGAGGTGTTTGTAAACAGGAAAACAGAATCACACTATCAACATGCAGGTTGTGTTGATGCTGCCTGTACAGCTGTAGACACTGTTGTACAGGGTCCAGGATCTACACACCAGTCATGGATCTGAATGGAGAGTGACCTGATCAGCTGTTTGAAAGGATCAGATTCCAGCTGAATGTCACCTGGTGGGACAGTGGAAATCTTCTTACACCTGAACCCACAGCTGGGACCACAGCTGCATTAGGGCAGGTGCAGCTACAACAGGCTGTGGCCAATAGGCTGCCAGTTAGATTTAGGTAGATCGTTTAGGACAGGTTCGTTTTTGTTTTTTCCATTGAGAATTGAATGTAAGTTTTTATGATAAAATTAAATTCTCCTGGGTCGACACAAACCTGATCATACAGATGATTTTAATTTAATACTAATGTTATTTCTGTTCTTGTTCATATCATCTCTTCAGACTGAGTGTCTGTAACCTCTCAGAGAGAAGCTGTGAAGCTCTGTCCTCAGTCCTCAGCTCCCAGTCCTCCAGTCTGAGACACCTGCACCTGAGTAACAACAACCTGCAGGATTCAGGAGTGAAGCTGATCTCTGCTGGACTGGAGAGTCCACACTGTGCACTGGAGACTCTCAGGTCAGGTCAACCTGTTCAAATATGGTCAATGTTCTAATCCTGATCAATAACAGATAAACCTGTGCATGCTCCTTCTGTTTATTATTATACAAGCAGTTATAGTCGTTTATTCACTGATCAGTTTTTCAATATTTGAATCAGATACTTTCTGATCGCCACCAATCTGCTCTAGAACAGTACAGACTGTTTCATACCTAAGTGATGGGATGTACCTCAGCATCATTTACTGTAATTTACAGTAATTCCTCTGAGTCAGCCTTTCTCAAAGAGTGGTCCGTGGTCCACCAGTAAATTAGTTAAAATATCATGTTTTATATTCAGTGTTTCTCAAACTGTCTCCAAATGACCACAAAGCCTAGTAATGAGTATTATACATGTGTTGTTTTCAATATTAAATAAACTCACATGTAAATTCAAACATTATTATTTGAACTGGTTGTTTTACAGTGCTGTTGGACTTCACTGTAACAAGTGACTCTGCCAACTCGCGTATCTTCACCAGTTTGTAGTTTATGTTTTATATTTTATTTGATGCTACATAAACAGCACCACTTGTTGCCGTGCAGTGCGTGAGATACAGCGTTTTCAGGCAAATAAAACTCTGTTGTAACATGGAGAAACCCGATGGCCGACTGCTTAGGGTGCATATATGAGTATTTTGACCATATTATCATTTTTATGCATAATTTCCAACTCCAAGCTGTGTAAACTGGAATGTTTTTATTTGATTTAAGCGTATCAGGTGATGTGTTTTTTGGATAACTTCCTGTATGTAGACTGCAGCTTCATTTGACATAAACTTTTATAAACTTACAGCTACAGGCTGACGAAACACACACACACACACACACACACACACACACACAGAGGAGATGACCTGTAGTGACCTTTGTCTGTTTTCTTCATTCAGCGTCACTGCGTTTTTATGTCAGGAATATTATTTAGTTTATAGATATTTTACATTAGTTTCCATAGAGATATTATTGAGTTCATATACAGTGACTCTGCTGCTGTGAACATTGTTGCTGCTGCTCTATAAAGTAATTTTATTTATTCTAATCCTGTTGTAAATTTTATTGTTTCAAAAGTAATAATAAGAATCAATACAAGTATCAATACAAAGCAGATAAGCTGTACTGTATTGATGAGATATATCTCACTTTATACAACTACACCTGATGAGAGAACCTCCCCTGTCTCACTGCTGCAGCCTCAACATGAGCCTCCAGACACTTAGAGAAAACCTGTATTCACACTCAGTGAACATGTGACCTTTCAGATGGAGCCTGGACACAGGGGTCATGGTGTCAATCAGGTGACTGTGAGGTCAGCTAGCACCATGGTGGAGAAAGACATGGGAACTGTATATGTACACTTCAATATTTGTTCATTTATCACAAGTCACATTGTCATTGAAATATTGAACCTGCATATCCTGCAGGACTAGCCCAGCCTTGTTTACTGTCATTTACTGTCATTCACTGTTGCTTACAGTCTTTCCTCTAAACTTAACAACACTGGGTGATTAATGACATGTAGTGAGAGAGTGAACAAGTTTGATTTGTAGCTGAAATTCTCTCTGTGTGTATTTAAGGTTATTTTAACCAAGAACTAAAACTGAGTGGAGCTGATAAGAAGAAAATCTTTCAGTGATTTTCTTCTTCAGCTTCATATAAAACATACAGGTATAAACTCTCCAGCTTGTTTAGAATAGAGCATCAAATACTCAAAATATGAGAAGAGATTACACATCACCAAAAACATAAAGTGTGATTTTATTTGAGTACTAATGTTATTTCTGTTCTTGTTCATATCATCTCTTCAGACTGAGTGTCTGTAACCTCTCAGAAAGAAGCTGTGAAGCTCTGTCCTCAGTCCTCAGCTCCCAGTCCTCCAGTCTGAGACACCTGCACCTGAGTAACAACAACCTGCAGGATTCAGGAGTGAGGCTGATCTCTGCTGGACTGGAGAGTCCACACTGTGCACTGGAGACTCTCAGGTCAGGTCAACCTGTTCAAATATGGTCAATGTTCTAATCCTGATCAATAACAGATAAACCTGTGCATGCTCCTTCTGTTTATTATTATAGATCCAGTTATAGTTGTTTATTCACTGATCAGTTGATGATGATCAATTGTTTTTGTGCCTCCGTGCTGACGACAGTCAGGACCAGAGACATTATGTTTTCTTGTTGTCCATCTTTACGTTCATGAGAATGAGACAGATTTGTTTCAAGGTGATATCTCTGTATTGCCTTGAGGGAAATTATTAAAAATTTGGATTCAAGGATGAACTGATTAGATTTTGGTGGTCAAAGGTCAAAGGTCACTGTGACTGCTCTCACAACACATTTTAGACATAACTCAAGACTTCACAGTTAAGACAAAATTTGACAGAAATGGTTCATATTATATCTGACTCTGGATAAATAGGGATGTAACCTGAAACTAGTCTGAGTGGAGGAGGAGGTGATTCTAGTTATGTTTGAATCAGGTAAACTTTCTTTGTATTAATTTCTAAAAACGCCACAAATCTGGTTTAGAACTACAGACTTTTTCACACCTTAGTGACAGTATGTACTCCAGTGTCATTTACTGTCATTTACAGTCTTTCCTCTAACCTTAACAACACTGGGTGATTAATGAGAGAGTGTGAACAAGTTTGATTTGTGGCTGAAATTCTCTCTTTGTGTGTTTAAGTTTGTTTTAACCAACAACTGAAACTGAGTGGAGCTGATAAGAAAACGTAGCGTGCTGCCAGTGATGTCTGATTGTTGGTTTATACAGTATTACTGGTCACATGGATGAAATTCCAGTTAGAAAGAATGGTGGTGATGGTAATGTACTGGATCCCAGTGATGCAGTAACTTGTCCAGTCCACCCTCAGATTGTGTAACGTGTGTTGTTTTGTGTGTCTTCAGTCTGTCAGGATGTCTGGTCACAGAGGAAGGCTGTGCTTCTCTGGCCTCAGCTCTGACATCCAACCCCTCCCACCTGAGAGAGCTGGACCTGAGCTACAATCATCCAGGAGACTCAGGAGTGAAGCTGCTGTCTGCTGGACTGGAGGATCCACACTGGAGACTGGAGACTCTCAGGTATGGAGAGGCCTGCAGCCACAGACACTGAGCCACATGCAGTAACTACTCATACTAGTAGTACTCCAGGTTACAGGTTCCTCCAGGGACAGGAGACAGAAACAGAAGCAGTGCCTCTTACTGAGACAGGACAGTAGAGAATGAGTGACCTGTGTGTGTGAGAGCCATGTAATGTCCATGTCTGCATGCTGGTCTGACCCCCCTCCTCCTTTCAGGGCGGAGCCTGGTGGAGTCCCATGGTTGACTCCAGGTCTGAGGAAGTGTGAGTGTGTTTTTCATTTGATTCATCAAAACAAAGCAGCACATTCAACCATCATCAAACTGTCAATAACTGATCACATGATCAATAACTGCAGCTGTGTCTTGTTCTCTCCATCAGATTCCTGTGAACTCACAATCGACACAAACACAGTGAACAGAGAGATCAAACTGTCTGACAACAACAGGAAGGTGACACATGTGAAGGAGGATCAGTCATATCCTGATCATCCAGACAGATTTGACCTCTGGCCTCAGTTGCTGTGTTCAACTGGTCTGACTGGTCGCTGTTACTGGGAGGTCGAGTGGAGCGGAGTGGTTCATATATCAGTGAGTTACAGAGGAATCAGAAGGAGAGGAGACGATAAAGACTGTTGGTTTGGATGGAACGATCAGTCCTGGAGTCTGATCTGCTGTGATGATGGTCGTTACTATGTCCGGCACAATAAGGAAATCACATGCCTCCCCTCCTCCTCCTCTTCCTCCTCCTTCCCCTCCTCCTCCCCCTCCTCCTCCACCTCCCCCCGCCCCTCCCCCTCTTCCCCCTCCTCCTCCTCCTCTAACAGAATAGCAGTGTATGTGGACTGTCCCTCTGGCTCTCTGTCCTTCTACAGAGTCTCCTCTGACTCACTGATCCACCTCCACACCTTCAACACCACCTTCACTGAACCTCTGTATCCTGGGTTTGTACTTTGGTATTATGAGTCGGTTTCTTCTGTGTGTTTGTTGTAGGGTTGCATGGTATACCGTACCAGTATAGTACCGCAATACTAGAGTTTTGAAAACAGTACTAATCCAGCATTTAAAAACAAACTGTACTTTTATTTTATTTTATTGAATGCAAATGAATTGGTAAATTGGAGCCTGTCTCTTTAAGCACAGCGAGGCCAGCGAGTGTGACGTAGTTGCCCGAGCGGATGTGAGCCGCCTCACACGCGCACTCGCATGTTTAGACTGAGGAGGAGAGAGAAACGACAAGTCGCGTCTTAGACAGACAGACTGGGTTGAAGAAAATACAGTAGATAGAGATGGCAGCTGCAGAAAAGCCCGTACTTGTGGACAAAATGGGGGCCCGAAGTACGGTGTGGAAATATTTCGGGTTCAAACCGAACGATAAAGGCGAGCCACTGAACCCAGAGGCACCTCAGTGCAAGTGGTGCTACAAAGTGTGTCTCGCAAAAGGAGGCAACACTTCAAACCTGTCGAAACATTAAAAGGACAACCATGCGGACTTGTTCCACGACTTCAGTCAAGAACGACAGTTGATAATGTTGTTCACCAGTTCACTGCACTGTAATGTCAGTGAAAGAAGTACAAAGCTCCTCCCAGCCCAGTAGTAAACCTACAGTAGCCTGCATACAGAGAGCTAAAACATGTCCATGGTTAATAGATACATTAAAAAATATATTTTTAAAAATTAAATTACATTCTTTAAATATTTAAATAACCCATCAAGGCAATACATAATATAATGAAATATTTTTTACAAAAAGTATCAAAAAGTATCGAAATACAAATTGGTATCGGTATCGAAACAGAAATTTGGTATCGTGACAACCCTAGTCTGTTGTAGACAGAACCTCCTCCTGTTGGAGAAACTGTCTCACTGCTGCCCAGATAGTTCAGTCTGTACAGGATCACACAGCTGATGTTATTTAAAACCAACATGGTTTCCACATGGTTTCCAGTTTGTTGTTGTTTTCTGTGACAGTCTGTCGTTAACGATTGCAGATGTGTCCAGAGGTTTTCCATGTAGATCCTGAACATCAGGCACAAACATGGTCTGCATGGATCACTTCATAGATTTTCATAGTGAACAGCAACATAACATCACGTCACTGTTAACATGTCATACCAACAACCTCCTGTGTCTCTCTGCCCATGTTTGGCACTGGCAACAACATGAGCAAAACTCCACACATGCTAAAATCAAGACTCAGCTGTGGAGACAAAACCAAAGATTTAAAGTGTTGGTCTTGAAAAACTAGAAATCAGTCACAGAGGAGGAGCCAGAGAAAGATGAAGAGAGATATATTCCCTCAGAACTACAGTGTATAACCTTACTGGTATTTTACACTTTTAACTGGTGTCCTGTTTTTCCTCCTGTATATTTTACCTTTGCTTTTATTTGATGTATTTTCATTTCAGTTCTTTCATTTGATTGTGAAGCTCTTCATGTCTGTGAGAAATGTTTTATAAGTAATAATACTGCTGAACGGCCGAGTTGAAGACAATCCAGTGGTCTTCCTGTAAATAACTGTGTTGCTTTGGGACCATAGACTGTAAATTTCACACGGTTCCAACTGAACAAATTATCACCAAATATAAATAACAATAATATATTTCTTCATATTTGCAGGAAAAACAAATTATAATAAAAATGACGTTGAAAATCAATGTTGAAAGGAACAAACTGATTGTATGTAAAGAAATTAAATCTGTAGGAATCATTAGGAAAGTTTCTCCTCTAGTCATTTAGTCTTGTGTTTTAATCTTATACTTCAGGTAATAAATCCAAACCTTAGCTACTGATATAGTGTATGGGCCAGTACTTCTCCACATATCTCCATAAAATCAACATGATCCAGAAAAAGTTTGTCAGACTGGCCACGTTTGAAAGTCCAAGGATCTGCTTCTCTATTTCATAAACTTAAACTATATGAAATATTTTTGATATAAACTTCCTACAAACATGTATTTTCATCTATAAAGTGAGATCATGTGACAGAAATCTACCAACTGATGGAAATCTGAGAATGAGCAGTTGACAAAATGATGAAGTTGTCTTTATATATTTTAATAAGAGCTTTGCAAAGGGTCAGTACAGTCACACAGAGTGTAATCACAGACTGATATCAAACAAACAGTGAACATGAACTTTATAGGAAGAGTGAAGAAGGAGGCATGGTCAGGATGTGTGTGTGTGGACACTTATGGATGCCATCAAAACTGTCAAAAGAAGCAGCTGCGTGCTCGAGGACAAGGACCCCTAAGGTTGTAACGGATACCAGATGAGGAGTTTACATGTGAGAACAGATTCATGTCCAGCGTTTTACAAAGTGCAGAATATGATTTTTCTATTACATTTCCTCCCTTTTGATCAGACTTGATCACCATTAAAGGAAAAATCCAGATTATATTTTCATGAGTGAACATCCTCACACATGGAAACGTAATGAAAACGTGTAACAGAGTGGTAAGGGTTGGGGTTAACCCTGACCCTAATCCATCCCATATAAAGTGCAAGCAACTTAGGAAGGAAAATTATAATCATTTACAGCACAATGTCAGAGTCTTCATCAAGATCAGGGATGTCTTGAGAATGATATGGTGGCATCCAATCAGGAGTAGTTAAGTGAGTCATCTGATGAGAAACTGACCTGTCAACTGTCCAATCAAGCTCCTGACACACGGGACCAGCAACAACCACAAGACACCAACAGCCAGGACCACAGCGAGCGTCGTGAGCGTGGAGATGAGCTTCCTGTCCACTTGCCAAACGTCCCCTCAAGCCGTGACGTTACCTCATTGTCCACTCCTGCATTGTCCTTCAGGTCAACAGCTAAGGTTTCGAGCTGGGTCACAGCAGGTGTGGAGGTGCCATCCGGAGCAGTGTTATTTGGAGCGTATGTGCGACAGGAGCTGCCAAACATCCCACAAACGCCGCCTTGTTCAGCCAACAGCAGATCCAGGGCCGTGCCACTTTACCACTAGGCTGGCAGCATGTACCTGCTCCCCCAAAGCTGCAAGGGCCTCACCTGTGGAGTTTACATAGTGTTGATGGTTATAATAGATGTAATTTATCCACTCAGTGTTTTTGGACGACTCAACTATTGTCTGAAAAACGGGAGTGCTGCAGTAAAGCCTCCCGCAATCTGGTCACGTTCTTTATATCCGTCAGGAACGCCGCGTGGCACGCCAGGTTCATCATGTTGTTGTGGTGGGTTACAGCGTCATCTTGAGGTTTTATCTGTCCCTGCCTGGGTTTTTCTGTCCCTCCTTTGTGCTTCTTCCAGCCATAAACTAAATGATTTCCAGTCTACTATGAGTTTACCTTTTTTATTCTCAGTCTCCTGCAGTCTTTCCCTCAGATGACTTAGCTGTCTGATACTGAAACTTCCTGTGCTCGGAAAAACACATTCAGTGACACGAATGTTCATTTGTTTCACAGATGAATCACCATAATTCACTGTCAGGTCATTTATGTTTGGAGCTGTGAGATCCACATGATCATGTTTATGTTTTCTTCCATATTTACTGTTGATAATATCTATTTTGGTAGATTCAAAATTTAATAGGAGATTTAAGTGATGTCTTCCACTAATCTCCAAAGTACAGCCGTTAAGAATATCAGGAAACTAATCAATGTTAGTTCGCCCAAAATAATACGACCAGTTTTAGTCTGTTGTCTTATTACTGTCAAATTCTCATTTTTTTCTTTTCTTAAATTACTCGAGATGATTAAAAACAGAATGATTAAAACAGAGTCGACTTTTCCTACATGTGTTTTTCTAAGTCTTTACACTATATAATACTGTGTTCTTAGTAAACTCTTTTAACCCTTTACAAACTGTTCTGGTCAGATTTGACCCGTTCTGACATTTGACTGCAATAAAAATACCATAAATGTCTTTTAGCCTGAAAGTTGATGACTTTTCTTAATATGACCCAAAATGCACAAAAATGTTTAAAATATTATAAAATGTTGTACTTTTGTTCAGGAGCTGTGAATGTCTGAGCCGTATCTATTGAAGTGGATTGTAGATCCACAGATATTAGATCTGTGCGTCAGATGAAGGAACATGGAGGTTTTAGGGGATCTTGAAACTGTGAAACTGTACATGCCCTGTCTGTGTGTATTTGTTATGGGACAGTGGTGACAGAGTTCAAGGGGGCCCTCGCCCTTGTCCCACCAGTTTTCGGTGTCCCCGCCACATCTGCCCAGGTTCCCCCAGAGACAGGCACCTGCTGGTCTCTGAAGGGTCATGGGGGATCTGGAAACAGTGACAGAGTCAAACAGCATAGGAGTGATCATATATGGTGCACATAAGGAACAGAGGTCACACAGAGGTCAGAGGGCGCCTCGACACAGACACCAGATCTGCACCTGCACCTGCACCTGCACCTGCAATGTAACAAAACATTGTCAAAATAAACATTAGAACCATTTATTCTGAAAACAATGGTTGTTTTCTTTAAAGCAGCAACTACTGCAGTTCCCCATTTTCTTATCTGTGGCCAATCAGTTTGTCTGGAGTTCACCTGAGCAACTGGTCCTGTTTGATGAGTACCGCTTCAGTTATCACCGTGAGGTTTCCACGGCCAGAGAGTTTGTTGACACCGTGAGACTTGATTCATGCCTTATCATAACAAATGTGTGGGT